AACTATTTAATGTGATTTTTAGTTTTCATAACTATGGTCATTATCTTTGAACGAAATATTTTTCTACCACTCTTTTAAACTCGTATTTCAGGAAACAAATCACAAGAGCCCTTAATTTGGGTCAATATGAAGTTTAAAAATTATTTACATTGCAAATCTTAAAATGACCATAAACGTTTTTGTATTATTATATATGAATTTGGGGTAGAAAAAAATTTATAATATTGTAGTAACTTGTGTAGCCAGCTAATCTTTCCTGATCTCCCAGAAAATGTTATTTTCTATTTTTCGAATTTTTTTCAGACTTTACAAAAACATTTAAAATAATTAGATTTTGAATTTTGAGCAGAAATTTTTGGTGTCATTTGGACTTTATTTGCACATACTCTTAGTTTTAACAAAAATATGAAAAACATGAAAAACCTAAAACAAAAGTAAGTAAAATTGGGGTGTTGCGAGAATCGAACTCGCGACCTCTCGCACCCGAAGCGAGAATCATACCACTAGACCAAACACCCTTTGTATAAAGGGTGAATGAGATATAAGGTTGCTCACTATTGATGACGATGAAGTGTTTGAAAGAATAACCTAGTGAAGTTAGGGTGTGTGGTGAAGAAGTGATTAGTTGGTGGAGTCAATGAGCAGAAGCAGAGAGATTGAGCGCAAGATTCTACGTCTCCTTCACGGTGCCAAAAACCCCACACAACTCACCCAAATCCACGCTCACTTCCTACGCCATGGTCTTCACCAATCAAACCAAATTCTCGCTCATTTCGTCACCCTCTGTGGAACCCCTTACGCCACGCGCATCTTCGCACACACCCCCAACCCCAACATTCTCCTCTTCAACGCCATCATCAAAGCCCATTCCTTACAACCTCCCTTCCACCCTTCATTCTCCTTTTTCTCCCTCATGAAGTCACGCGCCATCTCCCCCGACCACCACACATTGGCGCCCCTCATCAAGTCCGCCTCCAACCTCCGCCACTACGTCCTCGGCCAGTCCCTCCACGCCCACATCCTCCGCCTCGGCTTCACGCGCCACGCCTCCGTCTGCGTCGCCACGGTCGACCTCTACACCACTTGCGGGAGAATGGGCGATGCAAGCAAGGTGTTCGACGAAATGCGTGACCCTGACGTCGTCGTTTGGAACTTGATGATTCGCGGCTTTTGCAAAACGGGGGATTTAGAAACGGGGCTGAAGCTTTTTACACAAATGAAAGAACGGACCGTGGTTTCGTGGAACCTCATGATGTCTTGTTTAGCGCAAGGAAACAAGGAGAGGGAGGTTCTTGAGCTTTTCAATGGGATGTTAGACCAAGGTTTTGAACCCGACGATGCTTCCTTGGTTACGGTGCTACCTGTGTGTGCTCGTTTGGGGGATGTGGATGTTGGTGAATGGATCCATTCTTATGCGAATTCCAAAGGGTTCCTCCGAGACGCTGTTAACGTGGGGAATTCTCTCGTTGATTTCTATTGTAAATGTGGGAACTTGCAAGCCTCGTGGGGCATTTTCAATGAGATGGCTAATAAAAACGTTGTTTCTTGGAACGCGATGATATCGGGTTTGGCGTATAACGGGGAAGGTGAAGTTGGGGTTGGCTTGTTTGAGGAGATGGTACGTGGAGGCGTAGAACCTAATGATTCCACTTTCGTGGGGGTTTTGACGTGTTGTGCTCATGCAGGTTTGGTTGATAGAGGGCGTGAGATATTTGGTTCTATGAGTGTGAACTTTGGGGTTCCCCCTAAACTGGAGCATTATGGCTGCGTTGTCGACCTGCTTGGTCGTTGTGGGCACGTGAGGGAGGCTCTTGACTTGATTACAAGCATGCCATTGAAGCCAACTGCTGCTTTGTGGGGTGCATTGCTCAGTGCTTGTCGTACTCATGGTGACAGGGAAATTGCAGAAATTGCTGCTAAAGAGCTGATTGGTCTTGAACCATGGAACTCGGGAAATTATGTGCTGTTGTCAAATGTTTATGCAGAAGAAGGGAGATGGGATGAAGTTGAGAAAGTGAGGCTGTTGATGCGAGGAGGCGGTGTCAATAAAGTTCCGGGGCAGAGTGCAACTGGATAGTTGCAATAAATAACTGTCTTTTGGTGGACACAGACTAAAGAAATTCCTCACCATTTACAAAGTTAATGCATGGATCTTGATCTTGATCTTGAGAGAGGATCATACCATTTTTTGACATTTCTTGGTGGATTTGAATTCAAAAGGAATCAATCATCTTGACATGGATGAGTTAGATGTGTTGATTAGTTGAGGAGGCCACTGGACTATTTATCATGTCTTAAGAGATTAAGGAATCAATCAACTCAGTACTTGCTCTTTTGATTCCCAGAGTAAATTCACGTAGTTTAAAATGAATACGAAATGATTTTAATGACAATAATTTTCATTTATATATTTATTTAAATAAAAAAATTCAGGTATTATTATTTTTCATGCAGGAGAAACTATATACATTGTAAATTTGCATGAACTAGAAAAGGAAAAGAAGTCCAATCTAATTTACCGTGAACTAGTCGTATTAAATTATTTTTTAGTAGATATGTGTTTTTTTTATGGTTTCCTTCATAACGTATTGATATTTTTGGCACGGGTAATTGTAAGGTTTAAAATATTGCGATTTTAAAGTATAGTTAAGAATAAAAAATATGTAAATAAAATAATGATATCTTTATTATATATTGATGTAGATTATTTTTATTTTAAAAGAATAACTTGTAAAATACTTTGTTGAAGTCTATTTTTAGTTTTTGGCATGTCTATATTGATGTAGACATGTAAGTGATTGGTTGGATAGGATTTGGATAAAATCATTGTTCAATTCAATAAAAAAAATTGAGTTGAGTAAAATTTATGTAGTTTTTGTGTACCACATTAATTCATTATTAATAAAGTTTGATAGGATTAGTCAATTCAATCACATCTTTTTTATTAAAATTTGTAATTTTTAAATTCTTAGATTTTTTTTAAAATAAAATATATTGAATAATTTAATATTTTAAAAGTACAGTTAATAAAATAATAAAAACAAATAAAAACAAATTGTACTATTGATTGAGTTCACTTTGACTTAATTGAATAAAACTCAACTAATTTATTTAGATTGGATTGTCCCTTGCCCATTTAAAATATCCCTAATTTTATGATAGAATTACCAAATAGTAATTAATAAAGTTTTAAGTAAATCCTTACTGTCATAAGATGAGAAATTAACCCGTAGCCTAAAATTAGTACCTTGAGACAATTTTAGATAGTTTAATTTTTTTTTACAGTTTTTACCAAAATCAGTTTTGTTAATGAATATTATCCATGAACTTAACTCAATTTGTCATCACTCTTAGATAAGGTGAATTAAAAATGTCATAGTAGTTTCTTTTAAATATAAGATACATTATTTAATATTTTAAGAAAACAATATTTTAAAAATACACATGTAGTAGTTAATAGAATAAAAGTTATATTAATATATATTTATTGAATTTGAATTAATTGTAAACGAAAGCCAATCAATTTTTTTGGATTGTGACATTACCTTCTAAATAAACATCCCTAATTTTATGATAGAATTAGGAAATAGTAGTTACTGTGATTTTAAGTAAATTTTTACAGTTGCAATCCTTAGTCTAAAATTAATTACTAGAAACAATTGTAAGCAGTAATGATTTTATTTTGAATTTTTACTTAACTTGCATTTACAATAAAACATTCAAGTATAATCTTAAATCATTGTAAAATTAGTTTTAACTAGAATCAATTCTATCTTTATATATTTTATTAAAAATGAAACCTTACTTCAGATGGTACATTACAATACGGTATAAAATAAGACAAGAGTCATTCATATTGTTACAAGAAAGTAGTAAGCTTTAAGGATATGTGGAAACTTTTAGCCGATATTCACTTAAATGGATTTGAGTGAGAATGATGGAATGAAATCGAGAGAATTTGAAAGTAAATTTTTTATTGTTTATTTGAATGAATTTTGGAGATAAGTGAGATTAGATTTGGAAGTAAAGTTTATGAGAATTAGTGTAAAATTTGATTGATGTGACAGATTAAAAAAAATTATTTCTAAATTCACTGTCACTTACCTCCAAAATCCACTCAAATAAACATTAAAAATTTTACCTTAAAATTATTCAATTATTCTCTCACAAATCCATTCAAGTAAGTAAGGGCTAATGATATCCATTAGTATCTGCTTCTTGCTGCTACTACCTGTTTTCAAATTAAATAAACTGCTACTGATGTAGCAGCCGCTAGAATGAAAACATAGGATTTACTGAGGATTGTAGATTTAGGAGCATTACTTGTCTCTCCTCCTATGTACTCTGCCAAATTGAAGTTACCTGCACCAAGCATACATTTTGTAAGGGAAAATGAAAAGAGTAAAGAAAGTTGAAGCTGATATTTTAAGTGAGTGGAAACTGGAAAACCTCTTTGTCTTGAGAAGCTGCAGCCAGCATTCAGTGCATATCTCATTTGTTGTACAGTGGCTTTGTTGTAGAATAAGAAATTAGACAGTATATCATCTATGCAATTAAGCACTAGCTGTGCTTCTGTTAGGCATGGTCCACTGCAGAAAAAATCAGTGGCCTCAACTGGTATATTAATATTCCCAGATGGGTTTAATCTGAATGCTTCATCACACCCAACATAAATCTGAGAAAGATTCAAAAACAGCCAAAAGAAATGGCAACAGAACATGTGAGAGAGAGTATGCAAGATTGAAAGTGCAAAATAATAAACAATCGTCATTCATGTTCCAACAAATGGCATTAAATATTTGTCACTCACATGCTTATTGTTGAAGCAAGATAAGGCCTTTACCAGGCTTTGTCCTTGCAGCTCACCCTCGGCAGCCTCTGTTCATTTTTTCACACACAAACACATGCCATTAATATACATCAGGATCCGTAGAGCATAGAATGAATAATTGGCAAGGAAAGAAAGTAGTTGAAGCCATAGAGATGGTATGATCATGACCTGAGCATAAGTAAAACATTGAAATTACAAGAATGATAAGTGCAAGTGCCATGACTATAGTGGTGTGAAAGTTAATATGAATGTGATGAAGCTGGCACTGAATACTCAACCTTTTGTCCTTTTATGAGATCAAGGCAAGTTCAACAAAAGTGGGAACTCATAGTAGGCCACCACACAGATATCTAATAATGGAAAAGCAGAAAGTGTAAATCAGTGGTTTGGTGAACAAATAGCACCAGTTTATACAGTAGTAGGTTGAGACAAATTGACTGATACACAAAGTGAAGTACCAAATAGAGTTTGCAAACCATCTAACTTTTGAAACTTTTTGAACACATTTGCCATAACACCGAGAAATTTCCAAAAAATTGAAAAATGGAGATGCGGGGTATCGATCCCCGTACCTCTCGCATGCTAAGCGAGCGCTCTACCATCTGAGCTACATCCCCATGACATGAAACATTAGAAACTCTACAAATACAATTAAAACATAGTGAAATAGTAATTATTATATTGAGGTTTATAATTCAGTGGGCTTGTTTAGAAAGACAGAAGAATGGATTTAAGGCCCACTGTGTTGGAATACCAGAAACCCAAACCTAGAACCGCCAACAGATTCAGTAAAAGTTCATTACATCTTTTTATGATGAGCTCACCTTTGGATAAGAAGACGTGGCAGAATGATATAAATAGACACATATGTCACACACTCTCCTTATTACTAGTCTGTACTTATCCTTTCTTTAACCCTGTTGTTATCTCAAAGCTTTTAGGATCAACGGCTGACATGGCACAAGAAGAACGCCGGATCTTGGTGGCCGTCGATGAAGGCGAGGAGAGCTTGCACGCCCTCTCATGGTGCCTCAAAAACCTTCTTTTTCAAAATTCCAAGGACGCCCTTATTCTTCTCTACGTGAAACCCCCTCGCGTCGTTTATTCTACCTTCGATGGGACAGGTATATATGATCAATCATATGCATAACAAAAACACCAAGCTTCGGTTTGTGTTTTTGATTAATTATATGTGGTGTTTGTTAATTCCTAGGATATTTGTTTTCCTCCGACGTAACGGCAGCCATGGAGAGGTACGGCCAGGAGGTGGCGGATGTGGTCTTGGAGAAAGCCATGAAATTGTGTAACAGTGTTGAAAAAGTAATTACATGTTATGATAAAGTATATTTGGTATGACTATTTTGGTTGATGAATTTTGTGATTGATACGAACGTGGTGATGTGGTTAATTAAGGTGGAGACGAGGGTAGAGAACGGCGATCCGAGGGACGTGATTTGTGAAATGGTTCAAAAGTTGGGTGCTGATGTGTTGGTGATGGGAAGCCATGGCTATGGTCTCATCAAGAGGTGAGTTCAAAAACTTCCCTTTTAAGAAAATGGAGTGTTTGATTAGTTCTTTAGTTGATAAAGCTTTGGATGTTGAATCATTGCAGGGCTTTCCTTGGAAGTGTTAGTAATCACTGTGCACAGAACGCCAAGTGCCCAGTTTTGATTGTCAAAAAGCCAAAACCAGCTGTCGGAAACCAATAAATCATATTTTAATCTTTCTCACCTTCTTTTCTTCTGTAAATAAGTTATTTGAGTTGCCTGTGTTTTTGTTTGTTCCTTCAAAGGGATATAATGCCAAATATATCTTATGAATTTTAGTTCCTTACAACGTTAATTAGTTTGTGCAGCTTAGGACACTTAATTACTCTTAAACAATACTCTTCCTCACCCAGTTAATTTACGGTTCATAATAGAAAAAAATTTAGTTTGGTGTAAATACTTATTTAATGTAATGTTTAAATATAATTGTAATTACTGTATTAAAAGAAATAAATGATAATTAAGTTTAAAATGAAATGGAGGGAAGTAAGTGTTGTTATGAATGTTTGAAATAATAACATCTCCCCTCTCTTATCCGCACTTGAGTTTGAAATAATAAAAGGAAAAAGTTTGAAATAATAAAAGGAAAAGTGATAGTATGACCTTAATTTAAGAATTGACACTAAAATTTTAATTTTGGAAAAGATGAATGAAACTATAAATTATAAAATTGAAATTTGGTTAAGTTTTTGAAGTTTAAACTCAAAACTACAACAATCGGAGCCTTATTGTTGAAACTAACGCTCATCGGCACTTTCTTCCTTCACTCCATTAAAACCCAAGAACTTGTATAACCATCTTTGTTGCTCTGGAATCTGTATAGACTGATTGATGAGACATCTCTTGTATCATCTTTTCGATGTGATTTTTCTAACTATGAGGGTATTTGTATGGTTTTACTTTCACCGGATTAGAACCATGTACAAGGATAATAATAACATGGTTTTGGTCTCTCTGTGGTGGCAATCTAGCAGGAGTATAAAAAGACCCTTTTCTAATGATGTAGTAGCCGAGCTAACTCACAATAGACATTATGTGTTATTCTTTATCTCTTCTGCGTTTTGAATTGATCCATATACACCATTGTGGAAATGGTCTATCTTTTCCTTTTCTATGTTTTCTTATTCTAACCTTTATTCATTACAAAAAGTTATTTCCATTTTTGAATTTTCTGTTTTTGTTCTTTACATTGGCCTTTCACGATTCCATTGAATGTTCTCTCCAAAAATACTGAAATCGTAGTCCTTCAAGAATACAAAATCCCCCTTTTTTTCATTTTTTGCAATGTGTTTTGGAATGTTTGAAGCATGGCTCAATGTTCTATACAACATTTATTTTGGTGAAAGTTAGGTTTATTTTGCTTTGCGATTTATGATGTCATATTCGATTATCAGGGATTCTGTTTCAATTTCTCTATATCTCAATCAGGATTAGGGATCTTGAATTTTGGCAACAACAAATTAGGATTTTGAAACCTTTATTCTCTACGCGTTTGTATATTTTTGTCTATTAGATGTTTTACACCCTTATATATTTTGTTTTCACACTTTATATTTTCGTTCCTTATATGTTTTACACTCTTATATATTTTGTTTTTAGTTTAACTTTTGTGTTCACTTGTGTTGTTTATGATTTTCAAAAATAGATACTTGAATGATTTTCAACCTCTGGAACTTAATTTCCAAGGATATTGAAGTTGGGATCCGTCTCTAACTTCATTAAGGCTGTGTTCCCTTGAACAGATTATACTGTTCAAGCGAATTTGCGAGTGAAGAATGATTTTGAAAACGTGTTCTCATCTGTTGATTTGAGACGATGGAAAGCCGATGATTTACGTAGATTTAGCGTGGATTGCACTGTTTACACCATCTCGCCAAAATGGAAGGATTTGCGCTGATTTATAAGTAAAAGACTTACATGCCCTGTACGATTTTTCAAAACTCTGACTCCATCTGCAACCCTTTATAATATTAAAAAAATCATAATATTAACGTTAATATTAAAGCATAAGACATGTTGCTGTATCCGATTCCAGTAAACATCGTATCCAGATACGATGTCTGTCATGGAAAAAGTGAGTGGCAGAGTGGGACGTGAGTGGCAGAGGCGGTGATGTGTGTGATCTTCCTAAGGCTCTTCAGATTAGAGAAGAGACCCTAGGTCTCGTAGCCTCTTTGGGCGAAATGGAGGGGATGTAACTTAACCCTAGGGTTTTCTGAATTGGAAGCAAAAAAAAGGTTTGGGCTTGGCCATTTTTGTTCTTTTATTTGTTTTTTTTTTCTTGTTTTCTTTTTTTTTCTCTTTTTGATTACCTCCTTGCAGTTCCTGTTTCATTTTCACACTCCCTATTTAAAAATAAATTCATTTTATCACATTATAATTTTTATAATATTTAAAAATTAATTTTAATAATTATTAATAGTTTTGGTCTCTTTATAAACTTTTTTACATTAAAAAATAACATTTTATATTAATATATAGCTAGAGACATTTTAGTAATCTTTCATTTCTACTAATTAAACTAATTTTTAAAATCTATCACATCAATCAAATCCTACACTAATTCTCACAAACTTTACTTCCAAATCCACTCTCAATTAACCACAAATCCACTAAAAAAAACAACTACAAAATTACCCTCAAATTCACTCAAATCCATTCAAATCATCTCCCCCAAATCATCTTCCTCAAATACTCCCAAAAGAACACACCCTAAATATAAGTCTCCTTTCTCATCGGAGATGGTCTTACAAGATAAGGAAGTAAGATACATCATTCATCATCAATATAACTTTATCATACCATCCATGCCTTCTAACTTGTTACTTTTGATATTCAAGATGGAATTGTGAATGCAAGTCATACAATTCATGCCTCAATTAGGAAGACACTAATTTACAAATTTCAACTTAACTTTGAAACACAAAGTTTATTGTATTCAATGTTTTAGTTTATTGAATTCAATGCTTCAGTGTTAGAATCAAATTTCAACTTAACCTTGAAACAGAAACACAAAGTTCATTGTATTGAATGCTTTAATGTTAATGTAACGAAAGTTTTTATAAAATCAGTTAAGAGTCACAAAATAGACCAATTTAATCTGTTTTGGTCTAAAATGAAAATGAATCAGAAATGGATTAAATGAAAATTAAGTTAGGTTGGTCGGCCTGCCATAAAAAATGGATCAGAAATTGTGACGTACTTTGTTACTAAGATTCGTCAACGGATGACAAACTGCCACTTTTTTTTAAATTGTTTTTACTTTAAAAAAAATATTAAAAATATATATATATATATATATATATATATATATATTTAAATCATATTTAATTATTTAAATATTTTTTAAGTTTTTAACTGATTAATTAATACTTTTAATTAAATAAATTAAAATAATTATTACAGGTTGAATTACTATACTATAACTATTAAATTGTAATATTATATTTTGAAACTTATTTTCTTTATTTGTTAACTTGTTACCAAATGATAATAAAATATTCAATTAGTTATTTAAAACTTTTTTATTTGACTTTTTTTTAAAATATTTTTTATTATAAAACTATTTAAAAGTAAATAAAAACTTTTAACAATAAAATTATAAATATTATGTAATTTAATTTTATTATAATAATAATAAATTTTATTATTTTTTATCATCATAAAAAAGTAATCATGTGTGTAACATACATGTGTTTTCACTTATTTAAAATATGTGTAGATAATTTGTAAAAAAATGACAAACATTAACAAATAATTTATTATTAACATAATAAATTCTTTTTTGACATTGCCTAATAATATAAAATATTTAAAAAATTAATATCAAATAAATATTTTTCAAATTTATTAAAAGAAGCCACATATTCTATACACTAAAAATTGCAGAGTTCTTCAATGTTATCGTGATACTAATTCTGCTTTGCTGACATCGTGGTCAATTAATACTTATGACAAGTATAGATGTCAATTTGGATCATTCACGGGCTTGTCCCTATAGCCTATATGAACTGGGGTTAAAAAAAGTCTGTGAAATTAAAAAATCTTTCATTAAAAAAAGAACAAAAACCTCTTTTTTAAATGAGAAAAAAAAAATACTAATCTTTTATATATATTATTCCATATTTTATTTAAGTTGACCCATCTTAACTTTCTATATGATATCGATCCATCTTAAACTTCAGCTCTTCAATCTTAGTACCGACCGCTCTTCATTAATCAGTGCGATCGTTTCAAACTTATCAGACAGCGATGGAAACCGATGGCTGAAGCACTAGCGCAAAAACTCAGCCGCAAGGGCGGGCCAGTACGGTTTTTCTCCTCTTAATATTTGTACTATTTAGCTTCTCATTCCACAAATTCCGCTACCATTTCTTTACATACTCTCACGAGGAGGTATAGATTAAGCAAATCTTACCAATTGGAAGACAGCGGCAATTAGTGGATTAGTTAATCCGTTTTTATAAAAAAAAAATATAAGTTTTTAGAAAGAGCATGCGATGCACCGTATAATACTCTATCAAATCGATTTACAAAAAGAAAAATGCTATTAGACTTCAAACGTAATTTGAAAATCGAAACAAGAGACTTTTTGTCTGTTCTAATCAGTGAAAATAGTCAAATGTGATTGAAACAAAAGCTTCCAGCTCTTACTAGCAGTTTTCCAGTTTGCTTATCTAGAAAAAACAAAACAAAAAAACACTACGTCTGAAATCCTCATCCGTTTTGCAAACTGCCTAGAGCTCATCCTGCATACCAAAGACAAAATATTAAACACAATGCTCCCAAGCTTTGATTAAAGTGAGAGATATTGAGTAGATGAAAAACCTACATGACCATCTTCCTTGTCTTCTCCAGCTTCCGTCTTTGATTCACTATCGGAGTCATTGCCAGCTTCATCAGCTTCTTCATCTTCATCCTCAGCCTACACAGAACACATTAACTTCGTCAGAAACACTGCTACTGATGGACAAAATTTTTAAAAGACAGTAGTTCTACTTACATCAGAGTCAACTGGATCATCCTTTGCTTCCTGTACAAGAGATCAAAATATAGGAGTAAGAAAGGTTTCTTTCTTCAAGATAATTTTATAAACACCGAATTTTTCAAATATGTTTTTCAGTGTCAATTTTTACCTCCTCTTCCTTCTTCTTCTCGGCCTCTTCAAATGCTGCCTTCTCAGCCTGCAAGAAAACAATTCCATTAAGGAGATCGTATCATCTAATAGTGTAATTTAGGCCAAAAGATTAGACAATAGAAAGCGCTTACGTCCTTGTGCTTG